ATATTTCAGTCTGAACAGCATTTGCGGTAGGTTTTAATTGTATGCGCAATTTTATCTGTCTGAATCAGATCAAGTTTGAGCAAATCACTAGAAGATGATCATGATAAGGCCTCGCGAATCCTACAATGTCGCATTCGTATCAAGCGCTACATTTTCATTGTTCGGTGACAACAACAAAATTTTGCATTTGGAAGACTGTAAAGTACGAAATCGCTTGAATGATTTCGAAATATTTGATTTGTTATGAATTGTTAAAAATTACCATCGACGTTGGCTCCGCGATATTGCCTCCTAAAATGACTATTTAAAAGATAATGATAGCTACATAGCAGGGGTGGTCAACCTTATTTCGACTGAAATCTTCAAGACAGATCGCGATCGATAATAAGGTAATACACATAAACGAATGAGAACTGAATAGGCAGAGAAAACTGCACACGGGTATTTAAAAAATTCACCGCTGTCAATAAGCTCATCTCCGTAGGCGCATTCTCAATGCAATCATCCAAAAAATTTGTATTTTTTATTTTTCATTAAATTTCTTAATTATGTAATTGTACCCTAAGTACATGTTTCATCATTTATTTAAATCATATAAGTCAGATCCAATGCTTGTCAATTTTAGTTGTAAGCGTTGAAAATCCCTTTAAAAAGAAGATCAAGTATCTATCTATTACAGCGTTTTCCAACCTTTTTTGGTCGCGGACTATATTAATACCGGCCGGGTGTCCAAATTTTAACTTTAAAGTCTTTCCCGACGGTAAAATTGTATTATTCTTTTATATTTTTTAGATGAAATGGCATGTAATATGACTATTCAATTTTTTGAGGAACAAACCATAAGATCATTTTCAATTTACAATTAAAATTTGACGTGGAACACCATTACCGCGAAATATTGATAACGGTTGAGTGTGCTAATTTTGACTTTAATTTTAAAATCTTTCCCGACGGTAGAATTTTTTTATTTTCTGATATTTTTTAGATGAATTACTATGTAAAATGACTATTTAATTTTTTGAGGAACAAACCATAGGATCATTTTCAATTTACAATTGAAATTTGACGTGGAACACCTTTACCGCGAATATTGATAACGGTCGAGTGTGTTAGTTTTGACTTTAATTTTAAAGTCTTTCCCGACGGTAGAATTTTCTTATTTTTTGATATTTTTTAGATGAAATACTATGTAATATAACTATCTAATTTTTTGAGGAACAAACCATAGGATCATTTTCAATTTACAATTAAAATTTGACGTGGAACACCATTACCGCGAAATATTGATAACGGTTGAGTGTGCTAATTTTGACTTTAATTTTAAAATCTTTCCCGACGGTAGAATTTTTTTATTTTAGGATATTTTTTAGATGAATTACTATGTAATATGACTATCCAATTTTTTAAGGAACAAACCATAGGATCTGTTTCAATTTACAATTGAAATTTGACGTAGAACACCATTACCGTGAAATATTGATAACGGTCGAGTGCGCTAATTTTGACTTCAATTTGAAAGTCTTTCCCGACGGTAAAATTTTTTTTTTTTCTGATATATTTTAAATGAATTACTGTGTAATATGACTCCTGAATTTTTCGAGGAACAAACCATAGGATCATTTTCAATTTACAATTAAAATTTGACGTGGAACACCATTACCGTTAAATCTTGATAACGGTCGAGTGTGCTAATTTTGACTTTAATTTTAAAGTCTTTCCCGACGGTAAAATTTTTTTATTTTTCAATATTTTTTAAATGAAATACTATGTAATATGACTTTTAAATTTTTTGAGGAACAAACCATAGGATCATTTTCAATTTACAATTAAAATTTGACGTGGAACACCATTACCGCGAAATATTGAAAACGGTTGAGTGTGCTCATTTTGACTTTAATTTTAAAGTCTTTCCCGACGGTAAAATTTTTTTATTTTCTGATATTTTTTTTAGATGAATTATTATGTAAAATGATTATTTAATTTTTTGAGGAACAAACCATAGGATCATTTTCAATGTATAACACCATTACCGCGAAATATAGATAATGGTTGAGTGTGCTAATTTTGACTTTAATTTTGAAATCTTTCCTAACGGTAAATTTTTTTTATTTTCTGATATATTTTAGATGAAATACTATGTAATATGACTATTCAATTTTTTGAGGAACAAACCATAGGATCAATTTACAATTGAAATTTGACGTGGAACACTATTACCGCGAAATATTGATAATGGTTGGAGTGTGCTAATTTTGACTTTAATTTTAAAGGCTTTCCCAACGGTAGAATTTTTTTATTTTTCAATATTTTTTAAATGAAATACTATGTAATATGACTATTAATTTTTTGAGGAACAAACCATAAGATCATTTTCAATTTACAATTAAAATTTGACGTGGAACACCATTACCGCGAAATATTGATAACGGTTGAGTGTGCTAATTTTGACTTTAATTTTAAAATCTTTCCCGACGGTAGAATTGTTTTATTTTATGATATTTTTTAGATGAATTACTATGTAATATGACTATCCAAATTTTTTAGGAACAAACCATAAGATCATTTTCAATTTACAATTGAAATTTGACGTAGAACACCATTACCGTGAAATATTGATTACGGTCGACTGTGCTAATTTTGACTTTGATTTAAAAGTCTTTCCCGACGGTAAAATTTTTTTATTTTCTGATATATTTTAAATAAAATACTGTGTAATATGACTCCTAAATTTTTTGAGGAACAAACCATAGGATCATTTTCAATTTACAATTAAAATTTGACGTGGAACACCATTACCGCGAAATATTGAAAACGGTCGATTGTGCTAATTTTGACTTTAATTTTAAAGTCTTTCCCGACGGTAAAATTTTTTTATTTTTTAATATTTTTTAGATGAAATACTATGTAATATGACTATTCAATTTTTTGAGGAACAAACCATAGGATCATTTCCAATTTACAATTAAAATTTGACGTGGAACACCATTACCGCGAAATATTGATAACGGTTGAGTGTGCTAATTTTGACTTTAATTTTAAAATCTTTCCCGACGGTAAAATTTTTTTATTTTCTGATATATTTTAAATGAATTACTGTGTAATATGACTCCTAAATTTTTTGAGGAACAAACCATAGGATCATTTTCAATTTACAATTAAAATTTGACGTGGAACACCATTACCGTGAAATATTGATAACGGTCGAGTGTGCTAATTTTGACTTTAATTTGAAAGTCTTTCCAGACGGTAAAATTTTTTTATTTTCTGATATATTTTAAATGAATTACTGTGTAATATGACTCCTAAATTTTTTGAGGAACAAACCATAGGATCATTTTCAATTTACAATTAAAATTTGACGTGGAACACCATTACCGTGAAATATTGATAACGGTCGAGTGTGCTAATTTTGACTTTAATTTGAAAGTCTTTCCCGACGGTAAAATTTTTTTATTTTCTGATATATTTTAGATGAATTACTGTGTAATATGACTCCTAAATTTTTTGAGGAACAAGCCATAGGATCATTTCCAATTTACAATTAAAATTTGACGTGGAACACCATTACCGTTAAATCTTGATAACGGTCGAGTGTGCTAATTTTGACTTTAATTTTAAAGTTTTTCCCGACGGTAAAATTTTTTTATTTTTCAATATATTTTAGATGAAATACTATGTAATATGACTCTTAAATTTTTTGAGGAACAAACCATAGGATCATTTTCAATTTACAATTAAAATTTGACGTAGAACACCATTACCGTGAAATATTGATAACGGTCGAGTGTGCTAATTTTGACTTTAATTTGAAAGTCTTTCCCGACGGTAAAATTTTTTTATTTTCTGATATATTTTAAATGAATTACTGTGTAATATGACTCCTAAATTTTTTGAGGAACAAACCATAGGATCATTTTCAATTTACAATTAAAATTTGACGTAGAACACCATTACCGTGAAATATTGATAACGGTCGAGTGTGCTAATTTTGACTTTAATTTGAAAGTCTTTCCCGACGGTAAATTTTTTTATTTTTCAATATATTTTAGATGAAATACTATGTAATATGACTCTTAAATTTTTTGAGGAACAAACCATAGGATCATTTTCAATTTACAATTAAAATTTGACATGGAACACCATTACCGCGAAATATTGAAAACGGTCGAGTGTGCTCATTTTGACTTTAATTTTAAAGTCTTTCCCGACGGTAGAATTTTTTTATTTTTCAATATTTTCTATATTAATTAGTATGTAATATGATTATTTAATTTTTTGAGGAACAAACCATAGGATCATTTTCAATTTACAATTGAAATTTGACGTAAAACACCATTACCGCGAAATATAGATAATGGTTGAGTGTGCTAATTTTGACTTTAATATTAAAATCTTTCCCGACGGTAGAATTGTTTTATTTTATGATATTTTTTAGATGAATTACTATGTAATATGACTATCCAAATTTTTGAGGAACAAACCATAAGATCATTTTCAATTTACAATTGAAATTTGACGTAGAACACCATTACCGTGAAATATTGATAACGGTCGACTGTGCTAATTTTGACTTTGATTTGAAAGTCTTTCCCGACGGTAAAATTTTTTTATTTCCTGATATATTTTAAATAAAATACTGTGTAATATGACTCCTAAATTTTTTGAGGAACAAACCATAGGATCATTTTCAATTTACATTTAAAATTTGACGTGGAACACCATTACCGCGAAATATTGATAACGGTTGATTGTGCTAATTTTGACTTTAATTTTAAAGTCTTTCCCGACGGTAAAATTTTTTTATTTTTTAATATTTTCTAAATTAATTAGTATGTAATATGACTATTCAATTTTTTGAGGAACAAACCATAGGATCATTTCCAATTTACAATTGAAATTTGACGTAGAACACCATTACCGTGAAATATTGATAACGATTGAGTGTGCTAATTTTGACTTTAATTTTAAAATCTTTCCCGACGGTAGAATTTTTTTATTTTCTGATATTTTTTAGATGAATTATTATGTAATATGACTGTCCAATTTTTTGAGGAACAAACCATAGGATCATCTTCAATTTACAATTGAAATTTGACGTAGAACAACATTACCGTGAAATATTGATAACGGTCGAGTGTGCTAATTTTGACTTTAATTTTAAAGTCTTTCCCGACGGTAAAATTTTTTTATTTTTCAATATATTTTAGATGAAATACTATGTGAAATGACTATCAAATTTTTTGAGGAACAAACCATAGCATCATTTTCAATTTACAAATGAAATTTGACGTGGAACACCATTACCGCGAAATATTGAAAACGGTCGAGTGTGCTAATTTTGACTTTAATTTTAAAGTCTTTCCCGACGGTAGAATTTTTTTATTTTTCAATATTTTTTAAATGAAATACTATGTAATATGACTATTCAAGTTTTTGAGGAACAAACCATAGGATCATTTTCAATTTACAATTGAAATTTGATGTGGAACACAATTACCGCGAAATATTGATAACGGTTGAGTGTGCTAATTTTGACTTTAATTTTAAAGTCTTTCCCGACGGTAGAATTTTTTTATTTTTCAATATTTTTTAGATGAAATACTATGTAATGAGACTATTCAATTTTTTGGGGAACAAACCATAGGATCATTTTCAATTTACAATTGAAATTTGACGTGGATCACCATTACCGCAAAATATTGATAACGGTCGAGTGTGCTAATTTTGATTTTAAATTTGAAGTCTTTCTCTACGATAAAATTTTTTGAAATTTGTAAGATCATATACTGTATATTATGATAATTTAATTCCGTGGTAAACATTTTGTTGATTTCTTTTCGATGAACTGTTGAATTTCGACATCTAAAGCCTTCGAGACAATGTGTATCTGCTGGTGAAATGTTTTCATCATGTTTATTTTTTATTGTACAAGATGTATTTGTGCAAATCAATTATGGTTTATTCATAACTACATTTTTCCTCATAAAAAGAACAGACACTTAGCTTAGATTTCAATTTTCTTATTTTTGAGTTTCGACGGTCAATTTCAGGCTTGTTTACCGTCATATCTGGTAACACTGGTTTGAGATATTATTGTTCAGTTGATTTGGAATCATTTTCCCGGCATTTGTGTCATTTTGTGCTATCAATTGCCGGACTCTGAGAGGTTCTGGTGCTGAGGTGAATGTGGATATATGTAGGTTAGTAATCTGTGAGCGTTTAGGATGCCTTAACTTACCGTATAACACTGTCAGAACGCCAGCCCACACTCGTGTGACGCTAGCCCACACTCGTAGGATGCCAGCCCACACTCGTGTGACGCTAGCCCACACTCGTGAGACGCTAGCCCACACTCGTTTTTGACAGGCCATACTAGGGGTAACTGGTCCGTGCTTGGTATTGCATTTGCGCTGTGTATATCCAATATGGTCTCTATTTTGTCATAGCCACCAAGTTTTTATGTATTAACGTTTATAAAGTAGTAAAATAGTTGGTTAACCCCTTGACGTCAGACTGAGTGTGGGCTGAGCGAGTGTGGGCTGGGGTAACTTTGGTCTACCTACACTACTGCAATCAATTCCCCATGTATTCCACATACACCTACATATTGCCAGGAACGTAGGCAAATAATGCAATGGCGCTGCAGGCGACCAAGATCACTGCGCAGAACCTATTTTTTTCATGACATGGTAAATAAACTAAAATGAATTGTGAAGCGAGAAATCAGATTCGATGGACACTGACCTGATTTTGTGGGATTACTTTAATAGTCATGGTAAATCAAAATAAACTTATACAGATTTACATTTGTATTGGTGTGCAGCAAGACTCTTGAATCAAATGGTAATCGTATTCTTATAAGAGGTTCGGTGTTTTCGCTCCATGTTATTCCCTCAAAAATATCACTTCCTTTCATAATTATTAATTATCATAATCATGCAGCGTTTTATGCGAAAAAGTTGATGGCGTATTGGTATTTCCCATCCTCGTTCGAGTATCTTCGTATTATCGTTCTTGGTTACTTAATTTTTATCGCGGTATCACGCCTCTGAAGAATTATTTCATGTCTAACGATTGGTGAAGTACCGTGTCACACTTTTCCCATCAGTCAAATGTAATTTTCAGCTAAACTGTATTTTTGTTCGTGAGGTATCCTCGGATTGTCTGTCACGTGAATCTCAGTGTCTTTCAATTCAATATTTCTCCTTGATAAATTTATTTATGCTATTCACCGGTATAATTTTTTCACTCTGCAGACGCTTGTAAAATCTATGAAACGATGATCAAATATGGTGACGCGCAGATCAAATAACTACGCCAAAGCCTTCACATTTTCACAAGTTCTATACATTTTGACATACTGATACTGCGAACGTGAGCAAAATGTTTCTGCCAGGGCTGTCACATTTTTCTGAATAAAAACATCTAGTTTAACCTCATCTAAACAACTGAAAATATCTAGATTGGAAAACAAAACATCCAAAAAATGTTACTAAATTTAATAATAATAAAAATAAACAAAACAAAAGAGTACAAATAGTTCATTATATTACATCATAGTAGACTTCGAAGATCCTTTGAAGTTGATGTTGTTGCTACAGTTGCTTCAGAAGGATTCTTATATGTTTCTGCTGTACAAATTTTTTTGAATTCGAAACAGGTTCCTTATATGACGTGAAAAATTGTTTATTTCTATTGGGTTGAATTTAATGATAACTAGTATTGCATTCAGTGAATCTGTCTTCCTGCTGTTTCCTAATTTGTGTTTTCACAGTTTATTGCACTGAATTTTTCTCTACATCAGCATTTAAATGATGTAGTAACATTGCTAGCTTTCTGCCCTGCCGATAAAGTTTTTAGGATAGCTATCAAAAATTACAGCTGACAGAATGTATGTGATATCAGGCATATGATTGTAGTTTTATTAACCGTACATCTAATTCTAAATACTATTAGTTTAACAATTATACACATCGCTTTTTTATTTCCCACTGGATAATATTCAGAACGTGGAAAACAAATATCTAGATTTTATAGCTAACATCTAGACTTCAAGTTTCTAGATTTAGATCAGACATGTCCAAATCCGGCCCGTTGGGTAATTTAATCTGGCCCGCCCGATGCTGTCACAACCAAACTGAAATCAAAATTTTGATGTTTTAGCTAAAAATAGCTCATGGAATTCGTTGACATTACGGTTGAATTTGGTTTTGGCAAGAGGCATATTGTTTTTCATCTTTGCTTTGTAACACTGTAAATATTGTTCATAGAATGGAAATTTTTACGTCACACTTACATGGCCCGCCAGTCTATGTGGAGGAAATTTTTGTCCCCTGCTTCAAAAACCTCGCCCACCCCTGATATAGATCTTCAACAAAACATCTATAGACTACCGATATTTTACTGAATTAGATATTATTATGCGCTAAATGTCATTTTAATTTAGCGCATTGGGTTAGTCGGTTGTGCGCTGATCAAAGATGCCAGTCGGTCTCGAGACGGAGCATGACTATGAGGGACACAGGGTTTCATGTGGTCATAAGCGAGTAGACAAGCATAACTAGAAGTAAAAAACAGAGTGTGAGACAAGCATTACAGGGGTGGGCAAAGAAGTACAAGTATAATATGAGCAGGAATATGTGAGACAACTGGGAGAAGTTTGAGTTGAAATTTGAGAAGCAGAACAGTGTTGGACATACATGGCGAGTCTGAACAAGCGTGATCTGAGCAGAACAAGTGTGACCCAAGCAAGCCAAGTTTTGGTCATAAGGGACAAGTCTAAAAAAGTAGCACAATTTTGGCCAAGACAGAACAAATGTGAGAAAATCGGATCAATTAGGAGACGAGAAGCTCAAATGTAGTTATTTGACAACTGTGTGACAGGCCGAAAAAGTGTTTGACTAACAGAACGACAAGCAGGACAAGTGTGAGACAACATGGAAAAGTTCAAAGCAAGGAGGACAATGTTGGACATACATGAAAGGTTTGAGACAAGTGACACAATTGCGGGACAATAAGCACAACTATAAAATGGGCAGGACAATGTGTGTCAATATGGACAGGTGTGTGCGACAAGCATAACAAGTCTGAGACAAACAGCATAAGTGTTGGATTAGCATGACAAATGTGAGACAAGTGTGGGACAAGTAGGACAAATGTCAGAGTGCGAAAAAAGCAGAGAAAAGTTTGACACAAGCAGGAAAAGTGTTGGACATAGCCTACAACATAACAAGTCTGGGACTAGTACCACAAGTGTGGAAGAGTGCAAGTGTGAGACAAACATGAAAACTGTGAGAGAAGCAGGACAAGTGTGAGATGTGTTAGACTAGCTAGCATATGACAAATGTGGTAACAGCAGACCAAGTGTGGCAGAAGAAATTCAAATGTTGGACTACAACGATAAGTGTAAGATAAGCAGGCAATGTTTTTGACAAACACGACAAGTGTGTGGAAAGCATGACAAATGTTGTACAATCAGGAAATATGTGGATCATACAAGTGTACGACAAGCAGAACCAGTGAGAGACAACCAGAAAAAAGTTAGGACAAGCAAAAGTTTGAGACAAGTAGCGTAATTGTGAGAAAAGCAAAAAAGTGTGGAAAACGCGGAATGTTTTGAGACCAGCACGACATGTGTTGGACATACAGGACAAGTCTGAAAAAGTAGCACAATTGTATGCCCCCCTCCCCCCAATTTTCGAGAATTCCATTCTTAATCCACCAGTTTTGTGGCAATCTTGTCTCGTCACGCTTGCTGATTGTCATGTCACAAAGACTTGACCGTTCGCTCTTATGAGCAGTTTGGGAAAAACTGTTTCGTTAGCTTTCGGTCAGTTACTCGGTCTTGATTTGTTCGGTTTTATATTCGAAACGCTTGTATTTTGATGACCAAATTACTTCGATGGCTAAATTTAAACAGGCGAAATTCGATAGTTTTTTTCAGCGAAATAAAGAGTCGCTTTCCTCAAAAACATCAATAAGCGCTACTCAGGCTGTGGATGCACCGGTTACGTTGGTTACGTCTATCACTTCCATTCCCGAAGATAAACTAATATTCAAAGGAGGGAAAACAAACGATCTTGGATTTATTCTTAAGAAACATACGCAGCTTACCGATACAGAGAGATACGGGCTTCTAACTTCGGATGGTCCGAAAAACGTGACGATTCTGGATACCGTTAGACAAAGTCGTCGTAAATTTCTCAAAAAATGGCTTGACGATGACAGATTTTGCAGTTGGTTAGTTTACACCCAACTCTCTGATGAGGGTGGTTTGTGTAAGATATGCATCGTCATGCAAGCACGTTTGAAGCATGGAACTCTCAGGGACATTGCTTTTGTTACAAGACCATGCATTGACTACAAAAAAATTATGGAAAAGGCTTTAGCCCACCGAAACATAAATTACCACCAAGAATCAACTATAGCTGCAAAAATTTTTGCCAAAAGCATGGAAACTGGTCAAAATGTGCGTGCAAGCATGGAGGCCCAATATGCTATGCAAACAAAAGAAAACAGACGAATAATGACTTCCATTGTCCAGACTGTCATGTTCTGTGCTTCGGGTAACATACCCTTGCGCGGACATTCCGGGAACAGTGGAAATTTCGTGAACCTTCTTCTATTTCGTATCGACGCAGGGGATGAAGATTTGAAAAGGCATTTCGCTCGAATGGCCGGAAACGCTAAGTATACAAGCCCGATGATCAGTGATGAGCTGGAAAGATCGTAACAACCGGAACGCACCAAATTCGTGAAAATGTAATATATATATATATATTTACAACACAACGCTACCAGTAATTTTGTCTGTCGTAAGATAGAGCCGAAGAACTACAATGAAATATGAAAAAATTATCTGAAATATGACTGTTTAAAATTGAAAGAATATTCATACTAATTCAATACAAATGTTATTATTAGATAGATATTCACGGGGGTCAAAGGTCGGCGAAACATCCTTTCACGTTACTGCTGTGCACAAATTATTTGCCAGCTGTAATGTAAAAAGAATTATGACGCAACAAAACATCAATTAACTGAAAACTAACGAATAGAATTCAAAATCCTGGTGATCCAGTGATACCTGAAACTCAGTTATTTAGTTATGTTTACATTTCAGATTAAGATTGTTTTCACATTAAGTTTATCATCGAATGCACGTCCTACCTTGACATATGTTTTATTCAATAGCCTGTTCCAATGGACCTTTCCCCGACCTTTGACCTTTATTGTTTTGATTTTGGTCGCTCAGACCAATGACATTAAACAACATGATGCGCAACTCCGGCATTTTTGTCCGAAGATCGTATTCGATAGCACGCTCCAATGCACATACTTGACGAGACGAAAACGAGCGGATGTGTGCTGCTTTCGAGGCGTAGCACGAATGGTGTTCGGTACTTACCCCTTATGGTTTCAAATAGTTCATGCACCTCCAGTTAGATTTTTTTAATCAGTGAGGATATATACTCATTGTTGATTGCTGCACATTGTAACATACTATTGCGCGTTCACTTTTATTTGCGTATTGAATCAAAGTGTTAACAAGTTCAC